AAAACACGCTCACCTTCAACGAAATTTCCTTTCCGAGGCTTTGTGTCAGCCCAATCACATATTGTGTCAATACTTATCATTTTATCGTAATTTAAAAACTTGGAAATTGCACGGTACACTATAGGAACTACGATAAATTTTCCCTAATCGGCGCCATGTTTTTAGGCTCCTCCCATTTGACGGATCCCATTACCCACCATGAGATTGTTTATTACATCTAGTTAATACCTACAAAAGCTTCCTACTTATTTCAGAAACATCATGTATATAATATTATTCAATTTTCCAACACTTTTCCAGTTATGACTACCCCACGACCTTATTCTCAACAAAAAAGTAATAAGTAAACAAAATATTTACTTTAGGTGGAAATTTCTGAGAACTACGCCGTAAGGTGTTTTATTTATTTTCATCATTGTTAAATCCAACTTGCCAACTAGATTTGTCTACCCACCTTCCTTTCTTCACAAACGAAGCCATTTGTAAATATGTACATAATTACGTACACATTTACAAGTACATAAGTATGTAAAATGTGTCCACAATTTACTGTTTTATCTATCAAACAGGTGTTAGATAGATACGGCGATAGAGGGAAACAAAACTATTTATTTTTGAACTTAACTTTCGTTTTACGTAATTTCTGCATATACATATAAGCATCACATACCTAACTGTGTCTATAATATGTAAATTTACAAAGATCGTACTAATTAAGCAAATTAAAATGTTGTAGGTATCAGCAACTACCGTACTGGTTGAATATCGAATTTTAAAACCAATTTAAACATTTATAATTTAAAATTAACTAATTAATTCTAGACTATCCTCTCATTCGCTATCTCAACCGCACAAATTTCTTCGCCGCAAAGAACATGAAGATGATAATGATGACAAATTGATGTTGTGAACCCTGATGAATAAATAGAATATAGATATTCGACGTAATAATTTTAAACTTGTTGCTTGCCTTCAACCATTGAAATAATTATGAAAGCGGAAGGCGCTTTGTTTTTCATCTATTTGAAAATGATTTATTAGTTTGAAAGTATGTATCTATAGGTATATTATCTTATCACGAAAGGCGCTTTCTGTCATCGGAACTAATAGAATAAAAACAAAATTCCTTTATAACCAATTCAGAAAAAACTAATTAAAATTTGTATGCAGGTACGAACAATGCGGGATGCACGTATTCAATTATAGGTAATAAAAAATTTAACTATTACCTACTATTAGCTATAACCGTTCGATTCTATAATAGCAGAATACTTACGTAATCTTCATAATTATAAAACAGTATTATTTTAGTAAGGAATTTATTGATATAATATATCTATAAACATTAATTAAATACAGTAAATATAAACAGCACAATTGTTATTTTATAATAAAGAGGTAAAAATAGTTTTAATATTATCTATGGATGATATATGTAATATTTTTACCACCAATAGTTCTATTGATACTTTTTAAAGCAAAGAGAATTTCGAAACATTGCGAATACATTTTGACAACTTACCCTTCCGCTATTATCGGGTGCATTTAATTCAGCTGGCGGTATGCCTACCATAGCCGCCCTTTTGAGGATGTCGTGTAGAGCATCGTCGTCTCCATCACGGGCAGCTTGTAGTAAAGCTTGACCCCCTGGCGGGGGCGCAGCCACGGGCGCCCCCGCGCTCGTGGTTGGTGACAGCGTTCCCCTTATATAAAACCCTGTAGGGTGCACCCTCCTACCATCGGCTGGTGATACAGACACAAGAACGGGAGCACTGAGTTTCGTAATATATCTGCTTTCTGTATTAACAACCTCTAGGCCGCTTTTAGTCCTTTTAGTAGTCCTTGTATCACCCTGACAACTTCTATTTACAGGAATATCGCTCGGAAAACGAGTATAATTCCGCGATCCGCAAATTGAATTACTAAGGCAAGAAGTGGATGAATTTTTTGATTTCGAACAACTATTAAAATTGCTAGTCCTTGCAGCGAGTCCTTTACACTCCGGAACAGTTGTTAATGATGCGCTTTTAACGCCACTGCTGCCGGTATTAAAAAAGTTGGATCTTTTGACCGGAATTGGAGTAACACGTGTTCGAGGAGGTCGCGAATACACCACAGGTGAGTCCCAATTGAGTTTCGGGAATTCTTCGCTGTTGCGCTCTTTCAAAAGCCACTTGGTATCGGCTGGTTTGTAACAAGACACCAATTCATCGAACGTTCGTGGTTTCGGTGAAGATTTATCCGCGGCACTGTTGCAACAATTGATGCAAAGCGAGCGTCGTCTACTTCCACACAACTCAAAGTTGCACGAGCATCTGTTGCGTTTGAAACGCGGCGCGTCGTCGGTGGAAGTTTGCCTTCTGTCGTTTCGAACTACAGTGGCGTCCCCGGCGTCGCGAGCGTCGCCTTTTCCAATTGAGACACAACTGTCTGCCGACGACGATGACGACGTCGACGACGGTGGCAGGATGAAGCGGACGCTGCGTGGCTGGAATGGTAAACAGACGTGTTCCTTATTAGAAAACGTATTTCGAGCACGGGAGCGGAAAGAAAAATGGCTGAATTCTAGGAGGGTCGTCAAACCTGGGTGACCCAATCCTACTAGCTACAAGCAAACTACTAGATGAAAGATACGACCGGCGTGATTAGATTGGGTTATTAAAACTGCCGCGCTCTAGATTGCATGACCGAGGAAAATTAGGGCGCTGGAACTATTAGGGTGAAAGGGACTAACGTAATCCTATATTCCAGAAAATCCATTTATATTCCAAATAGGTGTTGAAAAAGCACATTTAATAATATCTTGTTATCAACATAATTAACAATAATTCACAGCGTTTTGCAAAACAAAAAAAGAACCCTAGCCAACAGCGAGCTGAACTATGGAAGACACCCTACTAAAAGAAATTTTAATCGCTCCCAAATCATTTTTTTTTTTTTACTTAATAGTCACCGATAATAATCAAATTTCAATTATTTATATTAAGGGAAAGTTTTCAAGTATTTTTAAAGTTAATTACAACTGTTTTTAGTATTTATTGTATTTTTGTGGTGGCCCAGGTATCAAATAAGTTTAAAAAGCATAATTTTGATGACGCCCAAAGTTTTAATTTAAGTCAAAAAACAATTAAAAGTCTGTTTGTTATCTGCTATTTGAACATTAAGGAAAACACTTTAATTTATTAATAGGTAATAAAGTCAATTTCCTTATTAATTTCATTGACGTAGACTGAAAGATTTGTTAAAACAATTGACTTGTTGTTTTTATGTATTGCTGTTTGTATGCAATAAGCTAAATCTTAAGGCTGTTTTTAAAGCGGTTTAAACTCGTCAAGTTCTCAATAAAATTAATATAGTGGAACACAGTATTCGTTTTAAAATTACATTTAAAATTGAGTTATTGCTACTTCCCCATTATTACCATAACGCACATAACTAATTTATACGGGTATGTAGCTCGCAAATTCCAACTTTAACGTCCTATTTTATGAGTGACGATAACACTAAATTAGCATAATAAGTGCTTTCGTTAATGTTAAATTTAATTCTAATGTAGGTGTGTTATTCAATATCGGCAAAAGTTTTTCATATTTGGACATTTACAATGTAACGTATCAAGAACCTGCGTATTGGTATCCGTCAAATGGGAGGAGCCTAAAAACATGGCGCGGATTAGGGAAAATTTATCGTAGTTCCTATAGTGTACCGTGCAATTTCCAAGTTTTTAAAATACGATAAAATGATAAGTATTGACACAATATGTGATTGGGCTGACACAAAGCCTCGGAAAGGAAATTTCGTTGAAGGTGAGCGTGTTTTTAATGCCAATCACATTATAAAATTCGGAAATAACAAATCCGGAAGCTAGCCTTCAAATTCCGTCAGGTTTACAGCCTACTTTTTACAAACTTCGGATTTAAAAAGTGATTCACGTTATATAATTGGTGAGGTGATTCTGGGTGATTTAAGCAATACCATATAAATGACTTGCACGTGAAAAGCCGATTTAAGAGAACGTTGCAAACACATTATTGTAACTTTGTTGTATTGCAGCAGGTAGGTTCTTAACCTTAAAATACTTATATCGTATCATTAGAATTGTGTTAAATCAATTACACAGGAATAAATAATTTCTCACTTTATAATTTTAGTATGATTCTAGTTTTAAATATTAACGTTATGGCTGATGGTAAATACTTGCTGAAATATAATCATGTATATTAAAATGACGTGAACAAATTTTTATTCCGGAATTCACTTCTTTGATACCTACTGCTTTCATCCAAGCTTCTATTAGTTTACTTTTTTCTCTAATTTTCCGAATATATTTTTTACATATATAAAACGGTTAGTTTTTATTGGAAAGTAGTTAATGTAGGAGAAGACTGAACATATTAACTTTTTATTTGATTTAACTTTAGAAGAAAATTTCGTCGACTCCATCATCAAAAAAATTTTTACTTTTTTAACGTGTTTTATTAATTTAATAAACAATTTTACAATTTGCGTGCACAGTTCCTATGTAATTTTTTCCCTCATTCGAGTTATAAATTTTGCCACCAGATGGTGTATGCCCATTTGACGGATCCCAATAGATATACATACTTACGATTAAACAGGAAGTGCTTTAATCGTGAATACGGATTAAGAAAGGCTAACTAATAATAAGTAAAGAAAAGCTCCTGAACGTCATAACGTGCTAAAAGGAAGTTCGTTACAAGAACTGAAAATGTCTTGATTTGGAAGTAATGCATAGATTGAAGTATTTGGTCAAATCAGTCAAAAAACTGACGGCTAATTTGCAGATTTCAAAACTTCAAGCGAAATTTGTATAGAAATAGAGCACATAGTGCACACACATTGGTTTTTTTATACATATTTTCAAGTACCTCTTTGTGCGATTCTTTTAAGGACTGTCTCTAATGGAATCGCATCAATTTTTTTGTCATCAACGGTCTCCTTACTCTGAAATCTATCAAAAATTCATAGCGCTACAATATTGCGCTGGTTCTGAGGATCTCATTTATTTTCTGGGACATGAAAGATTAATTAGAGACATATAAGAAGCAGGAATACGAATAAACAGGGTCAAAGATACGTAAGTAGTTAAGAATGCGAGATGCTCTAAGTCTTAGGGAGATGCGAAAATTGACTTCGGATAGGAAAGAAGTGTGTTCAACAAGCCTTCGGTTCAACCAAATGATGCTAATGATTTTAATTCAGTTCATGAGCAGCGTGGAATCCAGTTGTTTTTAACAAAAAGAAAGGATTTCGCTAAATCCTTACGAAAAACAGCCCTTTGTCAAACTCTTTGAAACTTTGGATTCGTGTAGTTCTCAATGTGTTAATCGAAAGTCTCAAAAGGAGCTAAGTCGTAAAAACTTATACGTTTGAGATATTGTCCTTCGAAGTTGCATTGTTTTTAGTAAGGACTTCCAAGGTGCAATCGTACCCATTATAGTCATCATCATCATAAGGTCATCAGTCCTAAGACTGGTTGGATACGTACCTCCACTCTTTCCTATCCTGAGCTAAACTTTGCATTTCCCTAAAACTAGAACAGTCCACATCCTTAATTATTTGCGAAGAGTAATCTAATCTAGGTCTACCTCTACCCCTCCTAACTCCTGTTTCTGCCTCATGACAAATCCATAATTCCTATACAACATATGCATAATATACCACGTACCTACTATAATAGAGGTGCAATTGTACCTTCTAAGTCCTTACAGAAGAATGCAACTTCAAAGGAGCATATCTTATACATATGAGTTTTTACGATTCAGTGCCCTTTAAGACTTTTGATTAACACGTTGAGAACTACCAGAATACAAAATGTGAAAGAGTTTAACAAAGGATCTTTTCCCTAAGGATCTATAGCGGGGTGTTTTGAGAATTCGAAGAAAAATATTTAGTAAAAGTGTATGTTTGATGCTCGGTTCTGTATAGTTACAAAATGTGAACAGTAGATACGGTGGAAAACAACAAGGAAGTTTGAAATTTGGTGTCATGGGTGAATGGTGAAAAAACCGTGGATAGAAAGGGTTAAAAATGAGAAGATATTGAAAAAAGCCACGTTATTTGCTCTTTGTAAGTACAGTCTATTTCAATTTGTTAGAATTGTGACCTTGAAGAAATCTGCGCGAATATAGAAAGAATACACACTAGGCGTGAGTAAGACAGAAATAGTTGAAACGAGCTTGAACGAGCAGAGCTCTCGATGGGCGGTCTTAAAACATCGGCTAGAACTATACAGTACTAGACGAAAATGTTTAGCAATTTCTTAAAACAAAAATGTATATAAATTAACAATAGAAAACAAAGCAAAAGCTTTGTAGGTGTGTAGAGCGTTATGTTAATTCACTTGTTATTATTTTTGGCTAAATGTGCTTTTAAATAAAGCAAATTTTTAAATTTTATCGAGGCAGTTTAAATAGTTTTGCAAATGGTACTGTACACTTTTGTCTAGTTCTCGCTCGATGATCGGTGTAGAAATGAGCTCCGCAGCCAAATATAATTGAATTTGGGAATATGCTCCGGCGCATCCTAATAAAGGGAAAGGGCATATCTCCAACTTCTTGAAACGAACAGTAAGTATTTAACGCTTAACTAAAACGAAGGTGTATGTTGGTGAGACTGCCTTCTTTCATTTAATTAGATGAACCAAAAATAGTGCATACAATACCTAAACATATACTCGTGTATCTGCGTCACTGGTTACAGAATTTATCATTTATATGCCCACACGAGCCTTATTATTAAAGAGATCATAAAAAATAGATTTCAAATGCCCTTGTTAACTTTAATTTCCAGCCACCTTCCACCATGTATTGGTGTCACAAGGGAGCATATGTGTATGAAATGTGATTTATTAATTACTCTGTTTACACACACTCAACAATGAAAAAGAACCATTCAAAGATCTACCAAAGTTTTACTTTAAAATAAAAGATATTTTTTTTTAAACTATTTCGTAAAAACTAAAATAACTTATCTAATATAAAAATACACACCAAGCTAAACTGCACACCTGTTATTTGTAATTTTCGTAAAAATAAACTATTCACGAACAATGAACTTAAAGTTTATATTATTACCAAAGATAATACCTCGATAATGATTAATCTTCTTAACGATTCATATAATGATTATAAAAAGATGGTGAACATGATACTTACTGGTTTACCTGATGATGCAGTATTTATTTTTCGCGACGATTGAGACTTCTTCTTGTCTTCAAAATTACATGTGTCTTGCACCCTCAGAGGTCCTAACACCTCTTTGCTGGAACCAATAGTACCATAACGTAATGAGGGAAGTTCTGCGATGCGAGACGTGACTAGTCTTGTTGAAGAGGGTTGAAAATGCGGCTAAAACATTAGAACCTATTCAACAAACAGCGTTATAATCTACCGTATCTGTGCAACAATAATTATTGCTATTAATAAGTTAATATAACGATTAATGGTAATAACCAGAGTGTGAGATATGGCATTTGTTAATTTTAACGAAAACGAAGAATTTTTTTTTTAAACTATTATTGCAAAATATCAGGTAAATTCTAATACAGCTATAATGAATTAAATACAAAGGTTAATAATAATTAAACCTCTCGAAAATGTCCACGTTATTAATCATTTCTTCTTATCACTGGATAAACGTTTATGACATAAGCACTGTCTGTCGGTTATCAACCAACTGTAGCCGATTATTATTATCGGATCTACCCGTGAAATATTGATAAACAATGTGTCTAAATTTTGTGGTTACCATAAGGTCCTGATATAAATATAAATACAAATAAATGTTTATTACGCATAAATATTTATTGAGTACATTCAACGTTGTGTACCATGGATATTTTTTAATATTACTTATTATACCACCTTCTGTTTATAGGATATTATGATGTTAAGACTACAAAATAACGTATTTTGAGTTTTCAAATGGGATAACTGCACAAAATTCACAATATATACAGTTATTTCTATACACAAGTATAATAAAATAAAAGGTAGTGGTTGCTTAATGGCGCCTAATAAATCACCCTAATCCGAACAACATTGGTTGCCTATCTTAATTTTTCTAGGTCATGCAATTTACTAAAAAAATCAAAATAAGTATTTCTATTTGTTTAACATCTAACAAAAATCGGGCTTCGTACTTTTCTTAAAAACACCATAAAATATCATTTGCCCGAAGCGCAGATTCTAACTCATTCTATGTGTATGGAATTTATTTAATAAGTTTTAAGTTTTTTTTTAAATAAAACATTTTTTAAAAAAAACGCACCTGTACTTGTGTAGATAATAATGAGAGCTTTGATTTGAGACCTCGANCTAACCTAATATCTCGTTAGCTGTTAAACGGGCGCAAACAATAATGTCCAATCTAATTCTAATTTAACAGTTTTCCATAACAAAGAGGTAGTATGTTACCCATGTATCTTATATATAAAAAAGTGTGCCTTATTTTTAATTAAATAAATTGATGTTGAAAATAGAGTACTTACAACAATGAATTTCTTATTTTTAGTAATAGTGCCTACAGAAAAAACTCACTCCTTTTTTGACATTTCTGATGGAAAATCTTTGTATATTAATTGATTTATTTAATTTTCCATTTTCATTGTGTCATCAACAGTGAGAAACTCGATAAAGTTATCACGATATCAATGAATAATCGAAAGATTTAGATCTGCATAGAATCACAGAATTTCAATTTTTTTGCTTTATTTGTGCATTGAGCTTCTTAATGTCAACATCCTAGAGCAGGGATGGCGAACCTTTACGTATTGACGTGTCATTTTTATAAAGAGAATATTAATCAGGTCATAGACGTGCCATGAGATAATTTGGTTTCTGTAATTATTGGAAAAATAATAATATCTAATAAATAATATCAACTCAAAACACTGGAAATCAATCAGCTGCATTTCAAATTCTTCAATTTCCAACCGATCGAATTGGGACAAATTCAGTTTATCAAATGACGTCACATCAGGGTACACAGTATACTTGAGTATTTCTGATAATTCTGTGAACTGAGAAAATCTCGCTGAAGATTCCTTGATTAAATAATGAATCACAGAAATATTAGTGACGTGCCCAAAATATTGTATTGGGTGCCACTAATGGCACCCATGCCATTGGTTCGCCATCCCTGTCCCAGAGCATTAAAATGTATCCTATAAGTCGTACTAAGTGAGCGAATGAATTAATTGCAATGAATGATAATAATAAAATCGAGAAATTAAGGTCGCAGCGTAAAAGTTCCACATAAAATTATAGAATTTCCAATTTTTCCTTTTATTGGAGCTTTTTCTTGATGCTTACATTCTAGAACAATGAAGTGTGTCCTGTTGTCTTAATAAGTAAGCGAGTGAATTAATTAGTAAATATCAAAATACGTCATTCATTATGTTGGAATAATAAACAGAAATTAACTTTCAATATCAAGTGCCTAACCTGGACACTGTAGGGTGGTGAAGCTCCTTAAACGGTTGATTAATTATAGTATCATTTAAAAAAATTACACAAGACTGTTTGAACATGAACATCTACTCTTTTCTATCTTTAGTCAATCTTCGCATTTCGATCTAAACTAGAACTAGAACGCTTTTAGTATTCTCTATTCCGACTCCCTACTGTCCACGTACCTACGGAAACTTTTTTCGAATTTTTAAATTAACAATTTATACACACCAAGCTAAACTGCACACCTGTTATTTGTAATTTTCGTAAAAATAAACTATTCACGAACAATGAACTTAAAGTTTATATTATTACCAAAGATAATACCTCGATAATGATTAATCTTCTTAACGATTCATATAATGATTATAAAAAGATGATGAACATGATACTTACTGGTTTACCTGATGATGCAGTATTTATTTTTCGCGACGATTGAGACTTCTTCTTGTCTTCAAAATTACATGTGTCTTGCACCCTCAGAGGTCCTAACACCTCTTTGCTGGAACCAATAGTACCATAACGTAATGAGGGAAGTTCTGCGATGCGAGACGTGACTAGTCTTGTTGAAGAGGGTTGAAAATGCGGCTAAAACATTAGAACCTATTCAACAAACAGCGTTATAATCTACCGTATCTGTGCAACAATAATTATTGCTATTAATAAGTTAATATAACGATTAATGGTAATAACCAGAGTGTGAGATATGGCATTTGTTAATTTTAACGAAAACGAAGAATTTTTTTTTTAAACTATTATTGCAAAATATCAGGTAAATTCTAATACAGCTATAATGAATTAAATACAAAGGTTAATAATAATTAAACCTCTCGAAAATGTCCACGTTATTAATCATTTCTTCTTATCACTGGATAAACGTTTATGACATAAGCACTGTCTGTCGGTTATCAACCAACTGTAGCCGATTATTATTATCGGATCTACCCGTGAAATATTGATAAACAATGTGTCTAAATTTTGTGGTTACCATAAGGTCCTGATATAAATATAAATACAAATAAATGTTTATTACGCATAAATATTTATTGAGTACATTCAACGTTGTGTACCATGGATATTTTTTAATATTACTTATTATACCACCTTCTGTTTATAGGATATTATGATGTTAAGACTACAAAATAACGTATTTTGAGTTTTCAAATGGNACCTTCTCCATACACATCAGTCAATTTCTTTCTGGCTTGAACAGCATTTTTACCCTTTCTGTAGTAAAACAGTAAGATATGTCGAAAATGCTGCTTATCGCTCTCCATATTAAAAAGGGCACCAACCAAAAACTACTGCGTAGAATTAATTGGAATTTTTCACACGCAAGCCTTGCTATATGAGCTCTCAAAGCAATTTAAAAATTATACGGCTTAAATGTGAAGTTGGGTGCAAAAGAATACAATTAAATTCTCTGTCGGGAAAAAACGAAATGACTTTCCGGACAACCCTATATTTTCAATCTATGCTTTTCTTTCAATACTGTTTCCATTTTCTATTTTTATTCTACATGGACCGTGGGCGCGGCGGAAAAGAAAAGGCTAGAAGCGTTCGAAATGTGGTGTTACAGGCGAATGATGAGGATACCGTGGGTAGAGAAGGTTAGAAATGAAGAAGAATTAGAAAGAATAGAAGAAGGGGCTAGTTAAAGACATATTAGAAGCAGAAGCAGGAGTTAAGAGGAGTAGTTCAGAAATAGTTAAGGATGTTGGATGTTCTCGTTTTAAGGAAATGCAAAGATTAGCCAGGATAAGAAATAGTGGTAGTGCGTGTCCAACTGGACTTATAACCCTATGATCATGATATTTACCCCAAATTATTGATATATTTGATATATCATTTTTCATCATTTGTTCAAATGTAGCAAAAACAGAGCACAGTGACTCGCTAGTGAATCACCAGTATATATAAAATTGGTACATGCTAAGGTTATTTAAAAATAAACAGATTACATACAGGTCGATCTACACTTACAAGTTTAGCGGTTCGTGCAGTCATTATACAAAATTATTGCTCTTTTTTATTCAGTTTTTATAATACCGTTTAATAATTTACAGATATTGTGAGAACTACGTTATAAACTCAGATTATAGCAGTTATTGTGGCAAAACGTTTTGTGAGAACCTACCAAGTTTCTATCTTTTGGCGCCTGGTACTAACCGTTATAAGCGTGCATTTTCGAGAACGGTTAATTTAACTTGAAAAGCTCATTAGCTTTCGATTTTCACACATTTGTTGCGAAAGAACATTTTCACGTTATTTGGCTGCTTCGCTTTTTAAAAGGGAATCGAGCTTAATAGGTCGCAGAAGAGCTTTTTATAACGAATAATTACCCTCGTAAATCAACCCTCATTTCCATCAAAAGATCCTGTTTTCAGTTTTGGAGTAGGCAAAAAATAATGTGAAGCGGCAAACGTATATTACAAAAATTGGGTTTTATTTTGTAAATGGATCGCAAAATTGTAAGGGGTCGTTAATAAAATACGTTCGTAAATAAGGGAGATGGGAGGAGTATTGCTTAGCATGACGAGATATGACAAAAGGGAGGGTAGCTAAGGAATCTTTCACGGGAGGGGCTAGCTATTGTGGCGTAATATTTGTTAGGGGCTCGCTGAAAGTGTGACTTAGGGTGACGAAGGGGGGACGGGTCAACTTTGCAAAAAATAATGCTGAAAATTTTCTAAAAATTAAGAAAATCCCAATAAATGAGTTATAATAAAGACTGAAAACGTATCACAGAGTTGTGACTTATCGTAAGACTAACTACCTACAATTTTACGTTAAAATATTACAAAAATATGATTAAGTGCATTACAAATACTTTTTCAGAATTTTTATTGCACCACATATATTTTTAGAACTATTTCGAGAAAACTTTAAAATAATTTTTGGCTTTCTTCATTCATCCTTTCTTTATTATTAGCTCTAACGCATAATAATCCCTGCATTGTTGGAGCAGCTGTTAGTTAGCTAGTTGAGTCATTTCACATGCTATAAAAATACACACCAAACATTTAAATATTTAATTAGTAAATTCGGAAAACAGTAGAAAAAGTATTTAATTGCAAACATCCCATCTGTAATTATCGTAAAAAAAAAACATTAGCGAATTACCAACTTAAAGTTTTTAATGTTTATATCATTATACCATGATAATTAAATACCTACAATAGACTTGATAAGTATGTGCCTACCTTTCTGACTGTCGGTCGATTTATTGTTCCCAATTTAGTAACAACCATTTTGAAAAAATTCACCCACTGACACACCAGAACATTTACAAATTATACACATACGTAACATTTGATTGTTTCTCGTTTATTTATTTTTTAGGTAGGTAGGTACAGTTTTGTTTTGAACGCGCGTCATTAGAACAGAACTACCGCTGCAGTGGTGAAACGCGGCGGTGTAGCAAGGTAATTTCATGCAAAATAGAACTTTTCGAAACAATCTACACAAATACTTCCTAACGTACGTTAGTGTGCTAAATAGCGTCAAAGTTTGCGCTGTTAATATACGTATGCGCCTTGTTTTGTTGCCGTGATTGAATTTTATACCAACATAGAGAAGACTGCTAGCAATTGAATTTCGCGAAAAACCTACCCTCACTTCGTAAACTATAGCTGAATCCAACTAAAATTCAGATGTTTTCGAAATAGCCAATTGTTAGTATTTTGCAGTAAAAAAACTATTGGGAAACGTGAAAAAACAGATTTAGGGTAATTTTTTTTTTGGTTTAATGTTGATCTAATATGTCCAAACGTTTTTCCCTTTCGGTTTAATATGGAGTTGTACGGTGTACAGAGATGTCAGTGCATTTTCTTTTGTATGGGAAATTTTGTGGATATTTTATATAGCAGTATTAGCATCTAGCAAGAAGGACCTAGAGATAGCTTTAAATAAAATGGAAGCGGTACTAACAGATCAGTACTGTATGAAAATAAATAAAAGTAAAACTAAAATACTGGTATGCAAGGGAAGAAAAAGTAGGGAAAGAGCGAATATAAAGATAGGAGACGAAGAATTAGAAGAAGTGGCTGATTTTAGATACCTAGGAAGTCAGATAAGTCAGGATGGAAGGAGAAGTAGGGATATAAAGCAGAGGATAGCGCAGGGTCGTGTCGCCTTTAATAAAAAGAAGTCACTTCTATGCTCGCGAACGGTTAATTTAGAAATTCGAAAAAGGTTGTTAAAGGTGTATGTTTGGAGCACGGCGTTGTACGGGTGCGAAACATAGACAGTGGGCGCGGCGGAAAAGAAAAAGTTAGAAGCGTTCGAAATGTGGTGTTATAGGCGGATGATGAGGATATCGTGGGTAGAAAAGGTTAGAAATGAAGAGGTATTGAAAAGAATAGGAGAACAGAGGACTCTATGGATGTCAATAAAAAATAGGCGAGATAGGTTGGTAGGACACCTTCTCAGGCATGAAGGTCTAGTCAGAGACATATTAGAGGCAGAAACAGGAGTTAGGAGGGGTAGAGGTAGACCTAGATTAGATTACTGTTCGCAAAGCATGTGGGCTGTTCTAGTTTTAGGGAAATGCGAAGTTTAGCTCAGGATAGGAAAGAGTGGAGGTACGTGTCCAACCAGTCTTAGGACTGACGACCTTATGATGATGATGATTTTATGTTCATCAGATTTCTTGTTTAATCATCTATCTGTTTGCCCAATGTACGTCGCTTCACGTTATTTATGGCTAACTCCTTAGTTCTTGTATTTGTTTAGAGTAAATGTTTCTATTACGTATGGAATTTAAAATGCATAGTTAATAATTTTCGAATTATTTCAAAAAAATTAATGTATTTTTCAGTCGATTTTTTTTATTACCTACATCAATACTTTATTGGATCCGTATTCAATAAAAATCGGTACAATTAATGCAATTAGAAATCGTTAACACTGTGAATATGTAGATACAGGTATCTAAATGTCAGTTTATAACTGTAACAAGTATGTCTTAAGATAGCCCGTTGTGAAGTTTTAATTTATTAACTCTTCCCATCAAACAATCCATTTATTTAAGATGTTTATATCTTTCGAGTTGCTTCTAAAAATATACAAAATTCCTTCATTTTTCAATTTGGACTAGTTCTACGTAACAAGATTGCGGATTGTAATGATATGTAGTCAACGATTTTTAAAATAAGGTCTATTTTTATTGTCGGACTAACTGGGACACACAACATATTTTTAGTGAACATATGAAGGACTTGAATATACACTTTTATCTTACAGAAGCACTTAAGCTGACAAACATTTTACTTCTTCGACCATTAACCAGTAACAATTCGTGATAATTTATTTTTATTGACTGCAGGAAAGTAGACCTTACAAATTCGTATAATTCGGCTATTCCATTTCAAAAAAATAACAAAGTTTCCTATGTCGTTTGCTTCCATTTCATCTTCGTGATGGACCACAACAGAGACAAACGATAACTAAGGTTAAACCAACTGTAGCTAAAAAAATAAGATAATACAAAAAAGCCAATTAAAAATGTATACAATTTTCTCCGAGGGCGGTGTATTGAAGATACATTATAAACTGGGTGAAAATGACACAATTTAAAGCATGACATTGCGTCGTCAACCTTCTTGGGCGTCAGAAGTTTAGGTTTAAAAAAAAAAAAACTTTTGGGTGTTTCATTCCCACCAGCCACTAATCCTAGTGGGCGGGCAGTCCCTTCGGACTACGCCGGAAAGTAGGGCAGAAGGCCCTCTTCAGCATCATTTCAGGAATCGTAGGAATGGGTGGGTGGTGGTTCGGGTAAGAAAGAGAGGAGGACGAAATGAAGACAGAAGATAATGAAATATTATCTGTGGAAAATTACTGCCCTAGATTTTACCTAAGTGATCCAAGGAAACCACAGAAAAATTTGGACCAAGGCAGACGGACCCGGACTTGAACCGACGTCCTCTCGAATGCCAAGCAATGGCCTAAACCTCTACGGTACGGATTTAGGTAAAACGTAGCTCCCTATCGCTTACAACTCGTTTAAACTTAATAAGGAAAAAATTTTCGATCAATTTGATTCAAGCAGGACAGATTTTTGGTATCACCGGAAACCGTCTGCAGATAGCTGAACGTCGAACTTGTAATTTTTTTTTCGATATGTGAAAATGGCAGACAGTAAAAAGTTTACGAAGTATAAACAAATTGTCATTTTTAGTAGTAGTGTATATTTTGTAAAATTAGCCAATATAGGTATTAGGTTATTTCTTACCTCCTATAGTCGATAATACTGACATTTCAGGTGGATCTAGATGTTTATCTTCTTCTGCCATAGCTTAGAAAAGTTTTTTCGATTTTATTTAATTTTCCTCAGATGTATCAAATGTGAAACTGTCAACATTAAAACTTTGTAATTATAAAAAGCGAAATCGAAATTATTGTAACCTTGGTTACATCCTTCTTCTATTATTTCTTATTCCTAAACTATTGTTCTGAAATTTACCTTTTGTTGACTACATAATCGATGTACAAATGAACTTCGGTAGAATTCTTACTAATATTTCTTCTTTTTTTAATACAAGCAATCCATGATTAAAGTTGTGCCATAATTTAAATATTTGTAACTTTCAGAAATTAAAAACGTAAGAAACGTATGAATGCGACGCGGGAAATCTAAACAGAGAAATTAGTCAATACGTTTCATCTTAGTTTATATAATTTTAAAAATAAAGTCAATAAACGAAAGGGTTGAAACCGTGCGTGGAGTGAAAGAGATAGCGTAAATATGTGAATTCATCTGAGGGTTAGTAAATACCTTTTTTTTGTATGTTTGTACTATTTAATATACCATATTTTAAGGAAAATATAAAAGTATCTAATTTGATACTACACTTGAAAACCGTTAATACCATGAGATTCTACGTACTTTTTTACATAAGTATCACTTCTCATATCTTAATAATCATCTTCAATATCCCAATAATCTTACGACGAGCTTTTTTATGTTTAAACTATCTTCATCTTAGTAAAATAATACCGGAAAGTACCAATTTGACACCGCACTCGAAAACCGTTGGTACCATGAGATTGCATGTGCTTATTTACATTAGTATCACTTCTCAAATCTTAATAAATGCCTTCAACCACCCAATAATCTTACGAGCGCTTTTATATGTACCAATTTGGCTCCGCACCTGAAAACCGTTGGTACCATGAGATTGTACATACTTTTTTACATAAATATCATTTCTCAAATCCTAATAAACACCTTCAATCATTTAATAATTCCACGAGCGCTTTTGAACTTTTAAGCTATCTCATATATTTTAGCAAAATAATGCTGGAAAGTATCAATTTGGCACCGCACCCGAAAACCGTTGGTAAACATGAACATAATTTCTCAAATCCTAATAAACACCTTCAATCATTTAATAATTCCACGAGCGCTTTTGTATTTCTAAACTATCACATATATATTAGCAAAATAATGCCGGAAAGTACTAATTTAGCACCGTTCTCGAAAACCGTTAGTACCGTGAGATTTTAAGTACTTTTTTACAAAGGTGTCAATCCTCAAATCTTAATAAACACCTTCTGTCGTCCAGCTTTTGTATTTTTAAACTATCTTACATATTTTAGCAAAATAATGCTGGGAAGTACCAATTTGGCGACGCACTCGAAAACCGTTAATACTATGAGATTGTACATACTTTTTTACATAAGTATACTTCTTAAATCTTAAAAAATACCTTCAATGTCACAATTATCTGACGAGCGCTTTTGTATGATAAAACTGTATTTCTTATATATTTTAGTAAAATAATGCCCAAAAGTACCAATTTGGTACCGCACTCGAAAACCGTTGGTACCATGAGATTGTACATACTTTTTTACATAAGTTTCACTTCTCAAATCTTAAGAGCGCTTTTGTATTTTCAAACTATCTTATATTTTAACAAAAGAATGCCGAAAAGTATCAATTTGGCACCACACTCGAAAACCGTTGGTACCATGAGTTTACGTACATTTTTACGTAAATATCATTTCTCAAATTTTAATAATCACTTTTAATATCCCAGTAAATTTACGAGCGCTTTTGTATTTTTAAACTATCTTAATTTTAGTAAAATAACGCCTGAAAGTACTCATTTAACACTTTTTCACATATAAAGCATTTTTCAAAGCTTGATTATTGGTTTGTTTGCGAAAAATAAAAGACCAAATATTATTACTTGAGGCTAATAAGTTTTATTCATAAAATTTCTTACAAATTAACAGATCTTAGATAAATACTTATTTATAGTTTGTGTAAGTATATAAATAATAGACAGGAACATAACACACAAAAAAAAACATGTCTTTATAAATCTTTGGCAATAATTGGAATGTAGAATAGTTATTGTATTTCCAACATAAAATACACCAAAAGCTTTGGATTATAAATACTGATAATGTTCTTTGGTAACAAAAAGCACTTTTCCTCGAAATAAATAAATAAATAAAGAACTTATTCAAGCTCTATCTCCTGATTCAATGTCCTGATTTGCAAGAGGGTCCAGTTCTTTGAATAAACTGAGCCAGGACATTTGAGACTTTAAATCGTTGGATTTTTTTGTATCATCCTTGATTGCACTGGGTGTTGGTTCTTCACTTTTTTGGCTAAGAGTATCAAAGTTAAATGTTCCCTCTTGGAGAAATTTAGAAGGCATAAAGTCTCCTAGAAGGTCATTTTCAGATGGCCAGTTTAAACTCAAAAGTTCAGAACTGAGTGTTGAATCAGACTGTTTGCTACCTTCAATAGCATTTGTGTCAGGGATTACTGGAGGGATGGAGAAGTTTTCACCAAGTAAATCTGTGGTTGGTAGTTCTTTTCTGAAATTAAATAAATTTTATAGTTATACTATATATTCTAATGAGGAACACTCACTTAGAATCTTTCGTTTTGTTTTCTTGATCCTTATTGTTTGGAACAGCATCTTTGTATTCTGAGTTGAAAAATGAGTTTTTATCCTTATTCTCTTTTTCGTCTTCTACACTTCCTGCTAATTCTGACACAGCACAAAATTCAAAGGGCTCTACATCATTTAATTTTTTAACTGCATGCATCAAAGTTTCTGATGATTTAGCTGAAAATATCGAAATTGCATTCTGATAGGATACCAACGCATGAGAAAACATATTGCACCTAGCAGCTGCTAATAAATCAACTTTTTGTAAGCATGCCAGCATGTAACGGTCAAATTTTGTTTTAGACATTTTAACATAAGACTGGGCTTTTCTGAAACGTTCTAATCCGCGACCTGTGTCCGGATCTAACTCATTAGAGACAGACTTCATCCAACTTAATGCACCCCTGTATTCAGTGCGAACTTTCTCCATTTCTGTTACAGTTGCTCTTGTGTCTAATATAGCCCTTGCTCTAAATGTCTCTACATCATGATGTAGTCGTACTAGGGGAGGTCTAACGGTTAACAATTGATGGCCAGTATATGCCAAAGCTTTACCAGCCACTGACAAAAGTTGAGCAGCACTTGAATTTTTTTCATTTTTACCACATTCTTTTAAATATCTGCCCAAAGCATTCTCTTCTTGAGCTAAATAGCATAACCTTTCTTGGTATGAATCTATAATTCGCTGTAACTGAATGCAAGTATCAGAAATAGATCTGAACAGTTCTAATTTTGCGTCCAACTCAGCATCAGAAGAAATTATGCAGTCATCCTCTTTGCTTCCTAATTTCCTTTGAACAGTCTTTTTTGTAACCCAATATTGATGCTGCATCATGTTTTATATTTATATTACAAACAAAAAAACACAAAATTTAATTTACAACACAACAATGTTTCTTATCAATTCGACATGATAAACATGAAACGTCAAACTTATCATAGAAACTTATTGCCAAATGTCAAGGAAGTGAATTTCGAGAGTAATATTGCCAGTATGTAAAATTGAAATAGAATTTAAAAATATTTATATCATTCTTAAATTTGAACAAGTATCGCCATAAAAGTTTTTTCTATTTAAAGTTTGGTTAATTATTAAATTAATTCAAATAGAATGATAACTAATCTAATATAATTTTAATTAATTCGTTTTGAAATTGCTACAGGGATTTTAGTTTTGAATGTCTTTAACCAGTTGCACACTGGACCATTTGAAGTTTAGTTTTATTCTGTGGTTTTATTAGGGGTTATATTTTTGATAATGGAAAACGTCAAACCTAAGTTTCTTTTTATTCGCAACGATGAGTACTGAAAATAAAGTTAGAGTTTTTCAGTGATGTAGGCGAAAAGGAATAATGTACTTGTGATGCTGCAGTTTAAGTATGATCCGGTAATTGTTTAATGTGTTGCGGGTCAAGTTTCTATTCTTAACCTCAAAATTATGTTTTGTTATAATTAAAAATAAGAACTAATTATATTATGGATTCTCTTATTGTGGAAGATTCTGATGAATCTTCATTAGATATTCACGAGGTTAGTTATAGATATTAGGTACAACATTCCCTGATTTGTTAATTTTTAGCTAAATGATATCGAATATGATATACCTCCTTCTGCACCCCTTTCCTTAGAGAGCATTTTATGGGAATTAGAATCTGAAGAAGGCAGTGATACAACTTCTTTACATTCAGTTCAAAGTTCCTCACATTTCCAAAAGTTTAAGTCTTTACTGTATCATGGAATTTTACAAGGGATATCTGCTCAGCTTGTGTCAGCTAAGGTTACAAACCCTTCTGTCTAGTTCTTTGTAAATTTCATCATTAGAAGACATATATTGTAGGAAAAGGTTGGTGCTGGATCACCGACAGTAATAAGCAATAGCAGTAAAACAGTTGCAGTAGGCACATCACATGGATATCTTCTAGCTTTTGATTCAGATCAGAAATTATGTTGGTGTTGCCATGATTCTCAAACAGTCGACCAAGGGGCAATATCATCCTTAGCATTTAATGTAGATTCAACAAGAATATTAGTCGGGTATGTGGGACTATTTTAACATCCTTTATTTGAAACTGAAACATTTGAACTGTATACTAAATTTTCTAATTGATAAAATTATTGATTTAGTTTTGAGAGAGGATATGTTTTTATGGTAGATTGTGGCACTGGAGACGTTATTCGGCGTTTACCAGATGCCCATGCCCCACAATCAGCAGTATTGCATTTGCGCTTTACAGTCAGCAATAATTTGGCCTTATGTGGTGATTCAGCTGGTTGTATATTTTCCTTATCATTCAGTAGGCGCCTTGGAAAACGAACGTGGAATTCAAAATGTTTATTTTCTGGTGCACGAGGGGAAGTCTGTGTTTTTGAGCCTTTTGTGGAACCACTTGATTTCCATCCACTGGGACAGTTTGTCATTGTTGCAATTGCCACCCTTTCTAAGGTAAATTATTAAAGCAAGATGCTTTGTTTGAGGAATTTCAATTCAATAATTCTTTTCTTTTTATATATGTCCTTTGGACGTCACAACTCTTATTCAAAGATTTGAAAGGTGATGTTTTTAGGTGATAGTTATAACAATAAAGCCTCGTCTGAGAGTGCTATTTACTCAAATGTTACCCAGAAGCCCAACGTATCTCCCACTTTTAGCGTGGCGTATGGTACCAGTCGGTCGTACCATGCAACCTGTTTTAGCGTGGGGACGTGGTACCGAATTAAATTATACTCGTGTAGTAATGTCGCCTGTAGATTCGAGTAAGATCAATTTATTCCCTTTACGCAGTGTTCAAGTGCCTTATACACTTTGCGCCTTACACTGGTTTGGTACAAGACATCTGGCGATGTTAGATACAACCGAAAATCTTCATCTTACGGAAGTTCGGACCCAACGGGAAATTGAAATTTTGGAATTGGACAACGCAGGTAATACAATATTTAATAGTTAAAGTTACTTTTATAACGTTTTTCCGCGCGCTATATCTTTTAGACACAGATTTTAGATTACACTAGGTAAATTATACTGGCCCTTATGTAGTCGTGATTATTGTAGGACTAGTTTATGGTTCGGCGCATTTTAAAGCGTTGGCCCTTGGGGGTGGTGTTAGCGAAGCATTTGCGTTAGCTGGCGAGAGAGCGTGCTATAATAGCTTTTCTAGTCGTGGTGATCAGCTTTTAATACTAGGAACCAAAGAAGTCCACCTTGTAAAATTACGATCTTGGCCTGAAAGATTGGCTTTTCTCAGCGAACAGGGCAGATGGACGGAAGCGCTTAATTTAGCCGCTGAAGAAGGCAAATATAATAAGAATAATAACATCGGTAAATTACTAGAAAAATATTTAGTAAGTCTTAGCTGTTATGGGATCGAAAGGGATAATTTAACTGCTGCTGTCAATTGCTGCGTGAAATTGAACAAAATGTAAGTTATTTTCTAAATTAATCTAAAAGTAACAAAACGTACATTATTGTTTTAAATTATAGTGATCTTCTTTGTAATGATTTATGGGAAGCAGTAGCTAAAGAGCCTTTCATTTTGGATTGGTTCTATATATTAATAACTGACCATATAGTAAATGGTACCCTGTATTTTCTTAATCCCACCGTGGCACAAGCTTTGGTCAACTATCACGAAGAAAAAAATAACACCGAAACTCTCGAAAATATTTTATTGGCCGTAGATTTGAGTTGCTTGGACTTGCATCAGGTATTAAAGATATGTCGTACTAAAAAGCTGTACAAAGCGTGGATACACATCAATACGAAAGTTTTGGAGGACTACGTAAGTCCGTTGACCGAATTCCTCCAAGATTTGACACCTGATAATCATAAGTTAGGTAACGTAATGCTTGTCTATGTTTCATCGTGTCTGACCGGACTAGGATATCCTCATGGAAAAATTCCCGAAAACAACGTTTCGAAAGTTAAGTACGACATAGTAAGATGTTTGGAAACAGTACATTCTATAACACCAACTGAAGGAGAAAAGTCGTACCCTTACTTACGAGTTCTTTTAAAATACAATACGAGAGAGTGGTTAAATGTTGTTGAATTAGCGTTTAGAGAACCGGAATTTTTGGGAGAAATGGGGCTGCTGCAGAGACAAAGACTGATAAAGATCATGATTGAAATAGTTTCACCGCCTGAGTTTAATGTAAGTTATAAAAGTATTTATTTTAGAATTATTCCCATAAAAAGAACACAACTGATATAATAATTCAAAGGATGGTAATAGTTTAATTTAAGGTACACAAGTTCGTGGGGTGGGGCGGAAAAGCGGAGGGTTGGGTGATGATAACTTTGTAAAATATTAAACAACTGATTGACGGGGGGGGGGGCGCACGGGTGTGGTCGCACAAGGTGCAGGTGAAAGATAGAAAATTTGAGGAAAAACTAACGTAACTAACTCAATCTTAGCCTAACCTACTGTAACGTTGTAAAAAAATTTTTTGGAGTGAATTTTATCTGCAAACCTACCAAAAAAAAATTTAATAATTAATCTTTAATTTCAGAAAAGTCAGAAAGTACAATTAGCTTGTTTTGTTTCAAGATTAATTGCATCAGATAATTTGAAACTAGACAGAGAAATTTTAAACGAAGTTTTAAATTCGTTAATGAATACTTTAGAGAAAGATTTAAGCGTCCGTGATCATTACGATAGGCAGCAGGCGTGGATCGATCTTTTAGAAAGTAATAAAATTCCCGATGATTTCAAGGGACAACTGGAAAAAGCATTGAACTGTAATTGTCTCAGAGTTGCCGAAATTCTATATGAGAGACAGAAAAAGTACGAAAAAATTTTAGAATGTTATTTAAGAGATAGTTACCGAAACGACGACGCTTTTAATTACATATTAAAATATCACGAAGACAGCGAAAGGTGTATACGTAAACAGTTCATAGATAATTTCGCAGACCTGGTGAAGATTGATGCAAAGAAATCGGCAGAAATAGTTGTCGAACATTTTACAGACATTGTAGAATATTTATGTCAGTTTTTGGAATCGCGTGACACTGACTTATTCTATGTATTCGTAAACGAATTGGTTCTTTTAGACGTGAAGCTTCCACCGGAAGTAGCAAAAAATTTTTTAGAAGTGCTCTGTCAAAGGGACAGCGATTTTGTTGACGACTTTGTCAAGTTGAAATTGTGTCCTACAGAAGTTGCCCTTGAAATCACAAAAAAGTACGAAAAACATTCTGCGACAGCTCTTTTGCTAGAGCAGTGTGGCAATTATAGGGAAGCTTTAGACCTTATGTTACAACAAGGAATGGCTAATGCTGCTGTGCAGCTTTGTGTCCATGGAGCGGAACATTTAAGCCTGAACGAAGCCCAAGAACTTTGGTTGGCTCTACTCAAACATCCCACCAGCTTGAAGTGCATGAGCGTACGACAACTATTACACTTTGCCGCCCCCCATGTTCCCCCGACACAACTTTTGGAATTAGTGCGAGACGTATGCTTCGGGGATGTTCGGGGAATTTTGGGAGAAATGCTAGCTGATTGTCGACATGATTTGCAGATGTTGCAGACCACTTTTAAACTCTTGAGTAAGGATATTCATCATGGTAAGAGTGGCACTATCTTTTTGATGTGTAACATCTTCCTGCTCTGTTTGTATGTATATACTATGGGAGTAATTCTTGAATGTAGGGAGGGGGAAGCGCGTACTATTCAATATATGCTACCTATAGTTGGTACAGCTGTCAACCGTTCGATCTGCTAACTTTGGTGTTGAGCAGCTCGACGTATTATCATCCAGTTTACATTGGGATCTTTTTTTCTCGTTACCGATGTTAGATGTTAGACATCATTTGCGATTACCTACTGTTTAAATAGTTTGAATTAATATCTTTTTCTTTCAGGATTGGCAAAGTCGCTGTCAATTAGTCGAAAACCTATAGCAGTAAGTTCGGATTTGTGTACATTATGTCGAAAATCGTTATATTCGCAGAAAGATACGGACTGTATAGTGTGGCAATGCGGGCATTGTTTTCATTCCAGTTGTGTGCCAACGTTAGAGGAAACGTTTCCTTGTCCCAATTGTAGATTGGTAGGTAAATTATTGAAAGACGATAAAAAAAAATCGTCATCGAACAATTTAAACATTGCTTACGAATGCATTCAAGTAAGACCTGATTTAGAAGGCCGATTTTAGTTATATACATAGCTGATACGTTTCACGATAGATATTTTTGATCATACAGCACTGATTATAAATAATAATTATTAATAAATAAGTAAATAAAACCATTTATATTGTAAATAAAAGTAATTATTATTACGCAATATATACATATATGTATAAATGTGTAACTTATTCAATTGATTGTGATATTACAATAAATTATGTACAGTAGAAACAGTAATTTCACTTGCTCGTATTAACGCTGTTTGGAAAGAGAGACGCATAATGGTTTAAATATACCCGAAGGCGCTCATCTGAAATTAAAAAGGGTGGCATTAACATTGATCGAGAATAAGCAATACTTAGATATCACTAACTATCACTAAAGGATAATAGTAAATTCATCTAGATCATAGTTTAGCCTTCGAAAGAATGGCCCTGTTTATTCTGTAGTTTTCTTCTTTCACTTCTCTTCTGTCTTCATTTCAATCGTCTTATATTTCTCCACTATCACCGCCTACCCATTCGCACGATTCGTAAAAACTGGCTGAGAGTTTTCCGCCCTACCATTCGGCTTTGCACTACAGTGTAAGTCTGAAGGACTGTCAGTCTATCAGTATTATTGGATAGTTGTTTTTTATAAACAAGTATTGTTAATGTCCTAAACTCTGAACGTTTAGGAGTTCTGAGGTAATTGCTTATAAAAAAGTTAAATTTCATTTACTTTAGTTTACTACTTTTTACTTTAGTATACTACAAATCATGCAATTTTTCCATATTTCATTAGTTTTTAATTTTAGGTACATATAGTTTAGATACCTTTAAGAAAACTTTCTTTAAAATGTGGATTGGACCTGAGGGCTAATACAGTGCTATGAAATAAAGTTGCATTTCCGGTATTTTGTGCCACCTGTAAAAATTTCCGCGGAGTCTCTTTATCCCCTGCTAATTGTAAAGCCGGAAGAACTTGTTCTTGGTCCAAGAGAATTTCTATTATTTCTTCAGTTGCTCCTGAATTAATATTAAAATTAGAAAAGTTTCACATAAAAGTAATAAAATAAGCACCTAATCGTGCAAACATGTCTAGGGCAAGCTCAATAAAACCCAAGGACAATAAACGGCACGCAAGTGGCTTTGAATCAGAAACAACCCCGTACTGGAGGAACTGGACCAATGCTGAATTTTTTTCTTGTTTCACCTTAAAATATATAACAAAATTAGGGGTATTAAGTACTCAACAAATTGACTAGATAAATACCAGCGTGTTTACGAGCATTTCGTTAAGACTAAGTTCTGTAGGAATATCGTTTTGAGTCAGAGATGTGATATAACTTATTAGAACCCATTCCAATTTTTGTAATTTATTAGCCAAATCCAATTTTTGGAAAACACGACTGTACATGTCTGCTTGGGTTATGAGGACTCTCGGTTGAAAAACAATTTTACTAGGAAGTTGAGCACCAGCTGGAGACGCGGTCTGAATCTGCAGTTCACTTTCTATCCATTTTCTGTACAGTATATTTATACAGTCGAAGGAGCTTTGAAGCTGTTGAAGGGGAGGCTCTGGAAGTTCTATCCTGTCTAGGAGCAACTGTAATTTGTAATTGGAGAAGTGTTTACTAAGTGTATGCAATCATTTGATTTTATGTATGTATTTTTTTAATATAGTTAAAGTCAATCTGAATGAGTTAACGTCATAAATGCAACAGTGGTAACAGCAATTTCATCAAATCTGCTGCTGAAACTGCAAGTGAAAATATAAATCTTGCCTTTAATAAAACTTCTTTCCCGTTCATTCTGTTCAATACTAATTGCGTGCAAACGGATAAGTCCGGTATTTGCCTACATAATTCAGGTAGAATTAAGTGTATACACCATAAGCATCCCAATTTGGCATCAATTACTATATTTGGTTGAAAAACAACCCAATCAGCCGAATCTACGCAAAGTTAAGTACTAAAATAGGCAAATATTTTCTTAATATTGTTTTCAGATTATGAAAAGGATACATAGCTCGCAGGCGTGCTTTTGAGGCTCCAAAAGACCCGGTATTTCCAAACAGGTGGGTTGAATAGACTTCGCTGGGGCTACAGCTTTATGGTAAGTTACTGTACCATCATTTTCCCCTTGCAAATTAATATCAAACACTTGTGAGCTCCTTGAAGCCTGTAAAGTAAATTTTATTTATAATGTAATCATGTTTATTTTAAAAATAACACCTGATGGTGAACAAGAATTAAATCATCTACAATATTAATTGCGAATCTGCCAGAAAGTCCTAAACGAAGTACATGCCTCTTAATAGGTGCCGAACTCGAACCGTTAAGTAAATGAATATGGACCTCAGAAGCCTGAGGTGCATTTTGATGTCTTAATATAAGTACTGCAGCAGTTCCATATAATGTACCCAAAGTTATATCTCTTTCTAAAATCATACGACCTGGATCACCTACAAAAAGTTGTATTAATAGGCATAACTTTTAGATTTTAACTTTTTGTGATGTAATACATGGTAATTGATGTTATCTTGTCAGATGCCAAAATTTGCGATTTCATCGTGGGATTATTATATATACGAAACAAGCCTTTATTAGGCAAAAAACAAGTTATAAAAGACAACAAAGAAAAGTAGATATAGGATGGGGACTGACTGATAACTTTGTAATGATGGTGAAGATGGGCATTCAAAGATTTCAATCTAATTTCAATTGCTTTGAATAAAACGAAGTTTAAAGAGCTTGAATTTAAATTTTTATTTCTTAATAATAAAATGAAATTAATGCAAGTTTTAAACATGCTGTCTTATAGATATTTTCATCTGAATCAAAATCCATGATTACCCTTTTCACCAATTACATCATATCTAATATTATTATACCTTCTACTTTGGGCATTTTAGAAACTGAACCAGGTTTAAAAATCACAGGTAGCAATTGGGAACCATGACTAGAAGCTAGCAGAGCAATTTTGTTTGTGGGACACCACACAAACCATTGTACTGTAACAGATATACTTTTCAAATGTTTTAATGTTCCTTTCTCAGGTATAACAGAATATAATTCAACACCATGGTCTGTTACTAAAGCTACTTCATTAATATAAGACCAAACAAAGCCTAATAGCGTTGCGTTTTTCTTGCAACTTTGTGAATATTTATTGTCCAAATTAGAGCCTTTGAAATTCATAAACTCTACAGAATTTGTTGATCTCTGAACAGCAAGAACTTTTTGATCTAGCGATATTTTAATTGATATTACTGGACCTCCATCATCCATTCTAAAATTCAAAGATTTACTTTCTTCTGATGGTCCTTTAACCACCACTCCCATGACACCTCCAGATCTTACAGCAAAAACCTGCAAATTAAATTTATTTATGTTCAGGGCTATAGAGGCAATAGTACAAATGTTAATACGAAAATATTCATACTTGTTTATTAGAGTCGTCAAAGAAGACATTTGTTAATTGGTTAACAGGTTCAAATCGAACAGGGTTCTTGGATAATTCCAAGTAATAAGTAAATTTCTCAGTCATTTTGATATGAAGTCAAAGTACTTTTTGTTCAGGTTTTCACTGTTTAATGAGGCAATAATTAGAATTATGAATAAATAAGCATATTATCTCTATTCACTAATTTTACTATCACAATCTAGAATCATGTACATTAATAAAATTAAAAAAAACGATAAAATTACTGCTCATTTTTCAAAATATAACCTTACATAACCTATCATGTTTGACAAATAGAAACATAGAAACAAAATATTTATTTTTGAATGTAGTGTCTGTGGGTGACAGCTGATTACCACTAACCTATATTTTTAGATAATACTTTGTTTTTAATTATGTGCAAGTTTTTTACATTTTAAAAGTGTGTTTGAGAATGATATGCAAATTTAACAAGGTAAACTGATTTTAAATATTATAAGACGATCTTGTGATATATTGAGATTAAAAATGACTTCACCTCCTCATCCAAATTGCATATTTTGCAAAATTATTGCGCGTACCTCTCCTGCTGAAATATTACTGGAAGATGACGATATAATTGTATTCAAAGATGTAAAACCAGCATCTAGATTTCACTACTTGGCCGTCCCCAAGTTGCACATCGAAAATGTTAACAAAATAACTTTAAATGATAAATTACTTGTTGAGAAGTTGTTAAGTGAGGGTAAAAGAGCCCTTCAAGAAAATGGGGCCAATGTAAATGATTTATTGGCAGGATTTCATTGGCCACCGTTTAATTCAGTCTCCCACATGCATTTGCATTTAATATCCCCAGCTTCAGAAATGAGTTTTCTGAGTAGAATTGTTTTCAGGCCTAACACTTGGTGGTTTGGAACAGTAAGAATTATTTGCCTATTGGCTGTTGATTGTGATTATAGTGTTTGTTTCATTTTTTAGGTAGACTATGTCTTAAACGATTTACTTCCAACAAAACTTTAAATAAATGGTATAGGTAAACTGGTAAGTTATGGCAGTAATATTAAATAGATATATCTGCTTTAGATGCATTTTTCAAATACTTAATGTCATTTCTTGAAAAGATAAAACTGCTCATTTATATTGATATTAACCCAACAATGAGATAGGTATATCTGCTTCAGCAAATAATTAGTTTTTGCCAGGTGAAGTTGTTAAATATTTACACAACTATGTAATTGTTAGAAAGGGGTCAATTAGAATAAATGTTTTTGATAGTTACAATTTCAATATTTATTTGGATACGTGGGANTAAGCTTGCCAAAGCCACTTGAGTGGAGGCTTATTTTTGCTTGAAAGGCCATAATGAAAGTACACTAAACTATAATCTTGCTCCACATACTTATCTAAAGTGTCTGTTAAGTACCTAAAAATAAATATGTTCTTTTTTAATGTTGCTTCATATGAAATTTAGTTAAAATATAAAGGAGACTACCGAAATCCCTACATGTAATGACTTGTAGATGCATGAGTACCACCCTATGTTCAACTGAACTACACCTTTAACTGATTATTATGCAATTAATTCCAACTCTTTAGGATGGAAACATGGTTCAAATAGGGTTTAAAGTTAGTGAACTTTTTCTTTGAAGGTCAACCTCGGTAGTCTCCTTTTCAATGGAACTCAGTCAAACTGGTTGTAAAAACCTAGGGATCATGTTTTAATGACTTATTACTGATACTCCATTTACAAGAATGTTTCTGCAACTGTTTGCTTACCTTAAAAATCTTCCATGATCAATTTCTTTAACAGGTGGTAATTTGCAGGCATATACAACTATTACTTTTCTGCCTAAAGCATCATCGCCTTTTACATCGACGATATTGTACCTTGCAATGTCCATAAATTTATCGGAGGAGTCAACTTCAGGATATGACGTATAAAGAAGACTGTCAAAGCATTCTTCACATGCTTCTGCTAATTCTTCTTCAAAATTCTCATCAGTAAAATCAGACACAGGAGACCCTACTCCATTAGTTTCAATTTCATTAATTAGGTCCACTAAAATGTTTTATATATTAGGACAAAATTAAACAAAACATCTTATAAATTAAAATTTTACCAGCACTGGCAAGAGCATCAGGAGATTGGTGTAACTCTGTATCATCAAATTCCAAATTCGGTTCGTAGTCATGATAATCTGATAAACTGGGGTAGGGTTCCTCACAATCTTAAAAGTAGATAAGGAATTTATAATCAATTCTCTGATAAAAAGTTTATCACTTTACCTGGCATATTTTTTATTGGACTCATTTTATTTGTATCCATACTAGCAATAAGACATTTTCAATTCAAAAACAAATAATATTCCTGTTCTTTGTAAATAATCGTAATAACACCCACAACCAGTCACTCCCATCTTCTGATTAGAAAGAAAATTTTATTCGCATTGTTTTACAATTAGTTCGGTAATCACTTATTTGAAGCAACCGCAAATCAACCAAGTTTTAAATTATGTTGTAAGATAACTATTACGCCGTTGAAAATTGCATGTAATCACTTTTTGCAGGATGCTCCCAAACAGACAGCCACTTTCACAGTTCCATGTAAGAACAGCTGATTTTCGTTGAAATGTTTTTGTGTGCTGATTGGTTCAGTTTGATTTGCACGCTAATGCTAGTTTTTATATCGTGGGAAAATGTTAGGATGCTAAAGATGAATATTACCGGACAAAAATAAGGCTCATTTAAATAAAAAAATAGATAATAAGTTTTATTGAAATTACTTTATAACTATCCTTTTTTCATCCAAACAAATAGGTGTTTGTATTCCATTATCTAAAACTAATTTTGCTTTGAACATAAATAGGATTGTGTTCACTTGTATCAATTACTTATTTAGGTTTTAACAATTAATAATTAATTACAGGCTAATAATATTTTATTATTAAGTGAACTTTGGTTGGTGTTGTTTTGAAGACAGCTTAAATTGACTGAAATGACCATAGATTATTGACAATCAAAAACCATAGAGCCTTCTGACAGTTAACATGCAACATGGAGTAGAAATGTTGTCTTGAATAGTGTAATGCGGGTGTTTTGTGCCGTTTACAAGTTAATTTTTATAAACTATTACAATGGCAGACTTAGATATTGATATATCAAAATTACCAGAAGATGTTAGAGAGAAATTGGCTGAGCTAGATTTGGAATTATCAGAAGGTGAGCAATTTTGACGTTTGTTTTTATAAGTTTGCAATCAATAATTGAAATGGCTAGTTTTTTCAAAAATACACACGAAATCGCCAAACATTTATGTTCTTAATAGAGGCGTAGATTTAAGGAATGTTGTAACACACATTTTGTAAATTAATATGAAACAAACGTGGATAGTTATTTAAATTTTGCCATCAATGTACTACCTACTTACTCCCTTTTCAGAGATATTTTGGGAAAGGATTTTATCCTTAATTATCCGTCTAATATTACTATATAACAAATTATATAAAAACGAAACGTTGTATTGAACTGTACATTCGGTATCAGTTAAGTAATGTCAACTGAAATACCAGAATATCATGTCAGCCTATTAATTGAATTATTGTTTATTACAGAAAAAAAAAAAAAACAAAATTAATTTGCTTTCTTATAGATTTATACTGATTAAAGGGTTTTTCTTAATTAAACTTTTTATGTGTACAATTGCTAACATATATATAAGTACCTATGCCAAGAGATACCTATCTACTGTTTATACTTTTTTTAGGTATTCAAATGGTGTATTTTCCATTTATTTTAGTTTAGTTAAAGATAAAATGAGTGTTTTCTTAAAGGTTTAATGGTTTAATTTTGTAGTATTACTGCACCTATTACGAATGCTACAGGTATGCAACCTGTTAGATTATTTAATGAGTCATGACTGAATGTTTGTAGAGAACGGTATCCAGTATATATATTTGAACCCAAATTAGTTATCCCTAATACAAATATTGATTATAAAAATGTAGTTCACGGTTTTTTTTTTAATATTTATATTTGAATTGACGCGATACGATACGTTTAATATTCACCTACTTGTATAGGAACTTCTTGTTTTGGAACAATACAATGGCAATGTCCAATTATCTTTTCTATTGTCTATTTCAGACGTAATAAAGTTTTATATGTGATAAGAATAATTATGTATAAAGTTCACGAAGACCATTTATTATGTTGTCTTGTTTACATTTACATTATTTATATAATATGCACATAGATGTACAAATGGATATTATCCACAAGTACCTAGGTACTTAATATAAAGTACAGTTATTAAATTACACAGGATGTATTTTAATTAACATTTGGTGGGTTGAAAATCTCTAACTGAGGATGACACCTTGAGTGTCGAAACGCGTTTTTGTTTTGTGGAATTTTGGGTTTTAAGTGATTGTTTGGGTTCTAAAATCTAAATGGGATCATGGGACCGTTCTTAAATTGAAGTAATAAAAGTACATAATAAATACAGTCGAATTGATACTTTTTTGAAGTCGGTTGATTGAAGAAGACTTCAAAATTGTTCTGTAACTTTTTGTAAAATTAACTCTGGGAGGCCGAGTACCTAGGAATATAAACGGCATTTATATTATAGGTATCTACGAAGGAAGGCGTTAATGCAACAAGTTTCCTTTATATTTAATACATTTTAGTCTCCATATTTCTATTTTAAGTACTCTGAAATTAGAGCATGAAGCGGAAATGTGTTTTGGTAGAAAACTATTAATGCTGCTTTTTAATGTGGTACCTAACAGATCTTTAAATAATCCTCCCTAGAAACAGTTCACAAATATTGCTTTAAGTGTTGTAGTAAACAATTTTTATTCTATAATAACATAATTCGAATTTTTCGATAATAATCAATCGTGGTTTGTTTATTATACAAAAGATACAAACAAAAAAAATAAAGAAATGTTTTATATTTTTATATTATTATATTTCTGTAGGAGTTTTGTAGATTGTTGGATTTTCTCAACGATGAGATGGTTAGCTTTGTGTTTTGTTATAAAACGTAAAGAATTCTTTCGGAGAAAATGTCAATTACTCAATCTTTATCTTGTATAATGTACAATAATGCTGATGGATACATTTATGTCATTCGCCCATTAAAGTTCCCGTTACACAACGACTTAATTTATTTCTTTAATACCTGCGACAACTGTACAATTTCACTGCAGTAATTTACGTAAAAGAAGTTCTGACATACAACGTATGCAAGGTTACTGTTTTGTACCTGATTCTGTTCCGTTAAAAATAAAATTAATTGCGACTGAGTAAACAGTTGACAGACCATGAGTTTCTGTTTTCAATTCAAAAGACTGACAGACGGTATATTGGAATGAATGTTTTTCCTTCTCGTNATTGTGTAACCCCACCCAGCGTCTACTTACAAAAGTTTATGTTATGTACAAAGTGTAAAAACAGTCTGTGATTTTCATGTTTTCTTTATAATTTCTTTGGCATATCAGACTAAGCAATGACTACAATTTCCTTTTAATCAAATCATCGTTATCATTTAATATTATTATTTATTTATGTAAGAAATGAGTTTCCTTCTCACCTGCTAATCGTTTCCAATGTTTATTATTTTGTATGCTCTTTCACACTACTCGACTACTAAACGATAAATATTTCCGAATGGTGTTGTAAAAGGAACTGCGTGAACATGTTTATAGGGCCTATAGCTGTTAAAGACATAGTAATATTTTCAGACCAGACCAAATTCGGTCCGAAAACTACTGCCAAATTTTGTGCAGTCATTTTATTAAGATCTGCTCTTTCCATTACCTATAAAATGGAATTAAGCAGAATAATAAAAAATTCGGTTCTTGGGACTGGTATTAGCAGTTATTAAGATAATGTTTTTAAAAGTTCTCACCTTGGACAAAAAATTAATGATGTATTTGAGGATCTTGTAATTATCTTCGGGTAACTTTTCCATCACCAAAATAGAAACTTGCCTGAGCTGTTCATCTCTACTCCAACCTAGATAAAGTATTGCATTAATAAAATTATCTACATAAGGTAAATGTGCTTTTTTCAATCTCACTTTGAAACAACATCACTTCATCATACAGTTCATGTGTTAAAAGGGGCTCTTTAAGTTCCCTTAAAAATGTTTTAAGTAATACTGCAGCTTCATGTGGGTCATCAAATACTAAAATTTCGCCCCTGTTTGCGTTTTCTTTTAATTGTTTCACTTTTAAAACGTTGGCAGATCTTCTGAAAAGACCTTCCGTTTCCAAAGCTAGAAGATAACAAACTCAGGTGCTGAATAATTAATTGTTTTAAGTATTATTACCATCAGGTTTATCCAAATGTTGTATACATTGTCGAACAACAGGTGGTATCACTTCCTTATAATGATCTTTTATAAAGTTTAAAGTCACACCAAATTGCTGTGTTGGATATTCAGGTTTTGAGTCTTCCACTGCCACAGCATTACTTGTGCCTCCTAATTTTCTGTCATGCCTGAAAAATAGCTATTTATTTTACTATTTTTCTAATAACTTAAATATTAACTTATCAAAATACAAATATATACTTACTCTTTAACTTGGTCTGGTATGGACAACTGTTCTAGTCGAATATGTTCGCTGAGTTCTTTTAAGTTGTTAATGTAATTAATTTTTCTTCCAAACTTAACACTAATAACTGGTTTGAAAAGTTGGAAAATTATCTTTAAAAAATTGGTTGGATGTACTAAATAAAGGGCTTGTAAGTTCTTTTTGTATTTCCTATCAAATGCCTTGTAAGCTTGCCAAAGCCACTTGAGTGGAGGCTTATTTTTGCTTGAAAGGCCATAATGAAAGTACACTAAACTATAATCTTGCTCCACATACTTATCTAAAGTGTCTGTTAAGTACCTAAAAATAAATATGTTCTTTTTTAATGTTGCTTCATATGAAATTTAGTTAAAATATAAAGGAGACTACCGAAATCCCTACATGTAATGACTTGTAGATGCATGAGTACCACCCTATGTTCAACTGAACTACACCTTTAACTGATTATTATGCAATTAATTCCAACTCTTTAGGATGGAAACATGGTTCAAATAGGGTTTAAAGTTAGTGAACTTTTTCTTTGAAGGTCAACCTCGGTAGTCTCCTTTTCAATGGAACTCAGTCAAACTGGTTGTAAAAACCTAGGGATCATGTTTTAATGACTTATTACTGATACTCCATTTACAAGAATGTTTCTGCAACTGTTTGCTTACCTTAAAAATCTTCCATGATCAATTTCTTTAACAGGTGGTAATTTGCAGGCATATACAACTATTACTTTTCTGCCTAAAGCATCATCGCCTTTTACATCGACGATATTGTACCTTGCAATGTCCATAAATTTATCGGAGGAGTCAACTTCAGGATATGACGTATAAAGAAGACTGTCAAAGCATTCTTCACATGCTTCTGCTAATTCTTCTTCAAAATTCTCATCAGTAAAATCAGACACAGGAGACCCTACTCCATTAGTTTCAATTTCATTAATTAGGTCCACTAAAATGTTTTATATATTAGGACAAAATTAAACAAAACATCTTATAAATTAAAATTTTACCAGCACTGGCAAGAGCATCAGGAGATTGGTGTAACTCTGTATCATCAAATTCCAAATTCGGTTCGTAGTCATGATAATCTGATAAACTGGGGTAGGGTTCCTCACAATCTTAAAAGTAGATAAGGAATTTATAATCAATTCTCTGATAAAAAGTTTATCACTTTACCTGGCATATTTTTTATTGGACTCATTTTATTTGTATCCATACTAGCAATAAGACATTTTCAATTCAAAAACAAATAATATTCCTGTTCTTTGTAAATAATCGTAATAACACCCACAACCAGTCACTCCCATCTTCTGATTAGAAAGAAAATTTTATTCGCATTGTTTTACAATTAGTTCGGTAATCACTTATTTGAAGCAACCGCAAATCAACCAAGTTTTAAATTATGTTGTAAGATAACTATTACGCCGTTGAAAATTGCATGTAATCACTTTTTGCAGGATGCTCCCAAACAGACAGCCACTTTCACAGTTCCATGTAAGAACAGCTGATTTTCGTTGAAATGTTTTTGTGTGCTGATTGGTTCAGTTTGATTTGCACGCTAATGCTAGTTTTTATATCGTGGGAAAATGTTAGGATGCTAAAGATGAATATTACCGGACAAAAATAAGGCTCATTTAAATAAAAAAATAGATAATAAGTTTTATTGAAATTACTTTATAACTATCCTTTTTTCATCCAAACAAATAGGTGTTTGTATTCCATTATCTAAAACTAATTTTGCTTTGAACATAAATAGGATTGTGTTCACTTGTATCAATTACTTATTTAGGTTTTAACAATTAATAATTAATTACAGGCTAATAATATTTTATTATTAAGTGAACTTTGGTTGGTGTTGTTTTGAAGACAGCTTAAATTGACTGAAATGACCATAGATTATTGACAATCAAAAACCATAGAGCCTTCTGACAGTTAACATGCAACATGGAGTAGAAATGTTGTCTTGAATAGTGTAATGCGGGTGTTTTGTGCCGTTTACAAGTTAATTTTTATAAACTATTACAATGGCAGACTTAGATATTGATATATCAAAATTACCAGAAGATGTTAGAGAGAAATTGGCTGAGCTAGATTTGGAATTATCAGAAGGTGAGCAATTTTGACGTTTGTTTTTATAAGTTTGCAATCAATAATTGAAATGGCTAGTTTTTTCAAAAATACACACGAAATCGCCAAACATTTATGTTCTTAATAGAGGCGTAGATTTAAGGAATGTTGTAACACACATTTTGTAAATTAATATGAAACAAACGTGGATAGTTATTTAAATTTTGCCATCAATGTACTACCTACTTACTCCCTTTTCAGAGATATTTTGGGAAAGGATTTTATCCTTAATTATCCGTCTAATATTACTATATAACAAATTATATAAAAACAAAACGTTGTATTGAACTGTACATTCGGTATCAGTTAAGTAATGTCAACTGAAATACCAGAATATCATGTCAGCCTATTAATTGAATTATTGTTTATTACAGAAAAAAAAAAAAAACAAAATTAATTTGCTTTCTTATAGATTTATACTGATTAAAGGGTTTTTCTTAATTAAACTTTTTATGTGTACAATTGCTAACATATATATAAGTACCTATGCCAAGAGATACCTATCTACTGTTTATACTTTTTTTAGGTATTCAAATGGTGTATTTTCCATTTATTTTAGTTTAGTTAAAGATAAAATGAGTGTTTTCTTAAAGGTTTAATGGTTTAATTTTGTAGTATTACTGCACCTATTACGAATGCTACAGGTATGCAACCTGTTAGATTATTTAATGAGTCATGACTGAATGTTTGTAGAGAACGGTATCCAGTATATATATTTGAACCCAAATTAGTTATCCCTAATACAAATATTGATTATAAAAATGTAGTTCACGGTTTTTTTTTTAATATTTATATTTGAATTGACGCGATACGATACGTTTAATATTCACCTACTTGTATAGGAACTTCTTGTTTTGGAACAATACAATGGCAATGTCCAATTATCTTTTCTATTGTCTATTTCAGACGTAATAAAGTTTTATATGTGATAAGAATAATTATGTATAAAGTTCACGAAGACCATTTATTATGTTGTCTTGTTTACATTTACATTATTTATATAATATGCACATAGATGTACAAATGGATATTATCCACAAGTACCTAGGTACTTAATATAAAGTACAGTTATTAAATTACACAGGATGTATTTTAATTAACATTGGGTGGGTTGAAAATCTCTAACTGAGGATGACACCTTGAGTGTCGAAACGCGTTTTTGTTTTGTGGAATTTTGGGTTTTAAGTGATTGTTTGGGTTCTAAAATCTAAATGGGATCATGGGACCGTTCTTAAATTGAAGTAATAAAAGTACATAATAAATACAGTCGAATTGATATTTTTTGAAGTCGGTTGATTGAAGAAGACTTCAAAATTGTTCTGTAACTTTTTGTAAAATTAACTCTGGGAGGCCGAGTACCAAGGAATATAAACGGCATTTATATTATAGGTATCTACGAAGGAAGGCGTTAATGCAACAAGTTTCCTTTATATTTAATACATTTTAGTCTCCATATTTCTATTTTAAGTACTCTGAAATTAGAGCATGAAGCGGAAATGTGTTTTGGTAGAAAACTATTAATGCTGCTTTTTAATGTGGTACCTAACAGATCTTTAAATAATCCTCCCTAGAAACAGTTCACAAATATTGCTTTAAGTGTTGTAGTAAACAATTTTTATTCTATAATAACATAATTCGAATTTTTCGATAATAATCAATCGTGGTTTGTTTATTATACAAAAGATACAAACAAAAAAAATAAAGAAATGTTTTATATTTTTATATTATTATATTTCTGTAGGAGTTTTGTAGATTGTTGGATTTTCTCAACGATGAGATGGTTAGCTTTGTGTTTTGTTATAAAACGTAAAGAATTCTTTCGGAGAAAATGTCAATTACTCAATCTTTATCTTGTATAATGTACAATAATGCTGATGGATACATTTATGTCATTCGCCCATTAAAGTTCCCGTTACGCAACGACTTAATTTATTTCTTTAATACCTGCGACAACTGTACAATTTCACTGCAGTAATTTACGTAAAAGAAGTTCTGACATACAA